ATTTATAACAGCTTAAAAACTCACTGAACACTGCAACCATGTTCATAGTGCCTTTCCTGGGAAAACTTTCTATTACTCCCATCAAGTGGCTACCAATTACCATCCCTACTTACAAAGAAGGAAAAGTATAAATGAGTCAGATAAGTGCTTTTCACCAACATCATTTCAGAAACAGGAAACAAAACTGAATTTTCTAAAATCATCAAGGTATGTATTAAAAAGACGATGGTTATCAATTATTTCTCTCAAGTATTTCTTGTAATTTCTCGGGACAGATGCTGTAAGCAGGAGATCGACAAATAAGTATGGATGACAAACAGCAGCAGGGGGAAGGGGTGCCAGCTGAGGGGGAGGTTGTCACTACTCCATGAAATACTATACACGGTTTATCCAGTTTTCAAATTTAAGCTAGTCAGTATAATATTTTGGATTCCAATATCGTCATTTCTTCTGAATTCCTGGAAAAATGTCAGTATTGATGATCAAACTGACCTTTTTACACTTCACTCTTCCCAGTAGTGTGTATAAAACAATTAGCAAGGGAGGCACTAGGAACTCCCATTCACTGGGTGCTCTCAGAGCCTCCACTATTACAAGTGGTTTTACAACCATTTCTCCTGGTAACATGAAAAGGGAATAACATCCTTCATAAGGTGCAAGAGGGAGGAGTGGTTACAGAAATGTCTAACCTGCCTCAACTCCATCACCCTAAGGTAGACAGAAGCCCCTTGACTTTTCAGGACCCAGCTAATGAAGGACAGAACTTATCCATGACTAATTTGCTAGAAAAACAAGGCTTTTGGCATCTAAATCTTCAGTGCATCACAAACTTCCTGCTATCATCTAATAACCCCCCAACTCAGTCATCACTGTTTCTATGGTAACCGACAGAGAAATAGCAGCCTGCCAAATGGCTTTTGTAGTTCCTCTTCCAGCTTGTTTTTCAGTATAGAATTAAAGCTAGCTGGGCAAAGAACCAGGCTAATCTTTATAACAGGACACGATGCCGTTTGAAAAGTACAATTGCACTTGGGATGAGACGTGTAGAAAAGCTTTAACAAATTCAGCTTGGTAGAATAAAAAAGGTTCTTGGTTTCTAAAAAATGTCTACTGAGGTATATTTGGTAAGCTTTACTTTTGTCTTAAGGCAGTATATCCTGACATTGGCCAGAAGATAGATAGGGTGCTATTCTCTCAGTCTTTAACTGAATTAACAAAAGAAGGGATGAGGTGAATGGAAGAGCAAGGTCCGGCAAGGCAAGCTTACTATGCCCCCAAGTACCTTATTATCATTAAAGGAAACAATAGCTCACTCTAAAATCAAAATGAATGGGCTGCCGTTGACAGACTTGGACCACAGGACAGTGAAAAAGGATGGGAATCTTGGAGGACCAAAACGTTTAATCCTAGGATGAGCATGAATGAAGCTGACTGAGCCAACTGCATGAATCAGAGGGCCACTGATGCTTAGGAAACAAAGACCTCCTTACCATCTCAGCACAGGGAGAGATTGTAAGGAATACAATGTGTAGAATTGGGGCAGCTTTCAGCAGATCAGCAGCTATAGAGATCTGCTGAAGGTGCCAGACCAAAACAAACAGCTGCTGCAGGGGTGGAGGAGAGTGAATATAAAAAAGAAAGAAAAAAAGACTATTTCTTTTTGTAAGTGCCCTAAACAGATGCTTCTCTGTCTCAAAAACTGCATATGTGAATAAAGTGCAGGAAATCTCATGATTCTTCTATGTCAGTTTCAGATGAGAAACTGACTCAAGTCAGAGCTATGAGCTTTGTTTCTGATAGGTTAATAGACACTGGATTTTGAAAGAGATTCTCTCTGACAACCTCTAGCACACTCTGAACGTCTTGGTGACAGACAGGAAAACGACAATCTATAGAGGCATACTAAGATAGGTGCCCAAGTGTTACAGAAAGTCAGACTCCTACAAATTCCACACAAAAGACTCACCCAATTTATGCTTTTAAATTTATGTTTTACCTTGGATTGTAGGAATGATGAGTCATGTTCTCATGTTCTCAGAGCTATTCCCAGAGTAGGCAAAGACCTGCAATAACCATTTCCCTTCCATCCTTCAGAAAGGGATCATTACAATAAGATGAAGATGGTGTACTCTAGGTACATTTCCAAGGCTGTCAACTCAAAAAAAGGCTCTGCACTTCTAGTTTAGCTAGATTTGCAGAGTCCCAGACTTTTATGTTAAAGAAACTTGAAGGAGTCTTTCAAAAAGTTTAAACTTGGGTCCTCTTTACTCAAAAATGGGACTTACAGGTTCTGGGGGAAAATTCATTTTTAAACTGCATTCACTTATGCATAATTATAATTCAAATATATTAACGTTAATTCAATTTCCTCATCTTACACAAAAGCCAGAATTGAAGGAATACACAGCTGCAACAAATTCAACCATAGCTAAGACTATGTAGGAAGCCAAAACTTATTACAGTCAATAACCTGAGGTACTGACACATTTATATTTCTTCCCCAATCTGTTTCCTTAGCCAACATTGTTTCAAGATCTCAGATAATTTTTTTTACTTATTAGATCTGTATTTTTATCAAATCAGCTACCATAGTTATAGTGCACATTCCCTTATGACTGGCAGAAAATTAAAGGGGCTTTACCACATTGTTAGTGTTTCATGGCCTGTACTTTCCCTGATGATCATCAAAATAGACTCCAAAGAGCCTTGAGGAGATAAGGCTTCAGTATGAGCTGTCTGTCTCTTAAACAGAGACTTTGTTCCAAGTGGTTGCCCTGAGAAACAGTGCTATGTGATAGTTATATTCTCCACCCATCCATTAACTTATAACTCAAACAGCTTTTGATCACCATGAATGTTTTACATCAGTAAATGAAGACCCGGAGGCAAGAGAAATGGAGGTATTCTGGGCACCAGAACATTATTTATGTTTAACAGTAGTTGGAAACTGCTTATACAGTAAAACTAATTATCCAGAAAGCATGCTTTGGGAATTCTGGAACTTCAATCTATAAAAAGGCCAAAAACGTTTTTTTAAGAGGATGGTGGTAAATGTATGTGTAAAGAAACAGTAACTGAATATGTAAAAACTTGGCAACAGAGAAAATAACTGTGAAGAACTAGAGACTAGGATTGCAGTCAAGATTATACTGGACATACTACAGCTTTTTGCCACTCAGAAGGATGGAAGGATGGCTCCGGGAGGAAGGCATAGCTCTACTATGCGCTAGATCATGAGTCCAGGAGGGGAAGAATGACTTCATCTTATTCATGGCTACAGCCCCAGCTCCCAGGACCACACCTAGCAAACATTTGGTGTTCCATATGTCTGGCTCAAGAAGTGTGTCTGAATTTAAAAATGAGATGTGGTGTTTCTCTGTTATTCATATAAAAGAAATCTTACTAAGGACAGGGTGGATTCTTTACATGTGTGAACGTGGGATTTAACTGAGTGGAAGCCTATGTAGAAAAGTGTAGCCAGTCCTAAAAGGAATGTGGCAAAGGCCAGGCAGTATGCTTCTCGAGTGGTATTCCCTGGTATGTGAGAAGGCCGACTGCCAATGAAACTGTGAGAGCTGGCTACTCAAACTGCTCAGAAAGCAGGTTTTCTCAATAACTCACTGGCAACTGACAATCCCCTGCTAACACAGATCAAATTTTCTGTGTAAGCAAAGTAAAGAAAACCTAAATCAATGGAAATTATACATACAAAAGGTACTTAATGGCATAAATGCAAAATAACATATTATGCTTCAAAATACTGTGCTTGGAAACCCAAACACATGTCAGGAAATGGTTCAGTCCGTTAACTGCATTCTCAGGGAAGTATATTTGATGAAGGACAGACGTGAGCATTGCCTGACAAATAACAATTATGAGGTCTGGATTAAGTCATATTCAAGACACAGCTTCGCAGGCCTTCCACACTGACTGGGTCTGGTTTAATGTTATAAAATGAATGACTGGGAACCCTGGTTAGAAAAAGACAGACTCTGAAAACAAGATAATTTGGTAGAGATTTGCTCTTTTCTTAGAGTTCCTATTATCTTTCTATCTACCTTAGTTTTAAGGTTCTACACTTTTTTATTTAAAAAAAAACAGCCTTGCCCAGCTGGTGTGGCTAAGTGGTTGAGCATCAACCCATACACCAAGACGTCACCAGTTCAATTCCCAGTCAGGGCACATGCCCGGGTTGTGGGCTTGATCCCCAGTAGGGGGCATGTAGGAAGAAGCCAATCGATGTTGATGCAGCAATGTTTCTCTCTCTCCCTCTCCCTTCCTCTATCTCTAAAAAATAAATAAATAAAACATATATTTTTAAAAATTAACAGCCTTGTATCGCTCAATGTCATGTACTGTAAGAGCTGGGATGGAAAAGTGAAGTTACAATACAGTTCAGTCACTACCTGAACTTGGATAGATGACCACCTCCGCTTTCTGGCTTGAACTTGCTGATGCGTCAGGCTTCCGGGAGAAGGCTAAGGAGGCAATGATGCACGTGATGCTTCCTGACAGGAAAGTGGCAACAGTGCCACGGATAATGCTGACTCCAAATACGGCTTCTACTAAGGCTTCTTTAGGGGCATCTTCCTTGAGCCTCCTTCCTCTCCCTTCTTGCCTCCATTTGCTTGGGCTATCCCTTTGCAAGTCCTCCTTTATAGCACTTACCATAATTGTAATTATTTGGGTAATTAGTAATACCTGTCTATCCCATGCCTGCATGAGGACAGAGACTGTGTCTGTCCTTTCCACCAATGACAAAGAGCCCCCAGCACCTGGCACATGGTAGGTAGTATCTGATAGATAAGTAAATGAATGAATGGGCACTGTGGAAGTCAAAAGTTAACCATGGGGTAAGCAATCAGTTCAAAATGTTTCACTGACGAATTACATACTTCTATCCTCTAAATCTGAAAATAGGAGCTCTACTTTTTTCACAGAATAACAGGAGGCAAGAAGAACATAAAAATTTAAAACACAAAACAAAAAAGAATACTCACTGGTGGGGGCTTCTTTCTCATCTCAAAAGTGCGTGTGGCACCAAAACTGAGCGAAGCGATGACCGGGCACCTCCCCAGTGAGGGTTCGTCATCACTGTGCCAGTCCACACTGTCCTTCTCATTTCGGTAGAGATTGCAGAGCAAGGAGTTGAAGGTGTGACCCGTGTTCTCTTCAATTTGGTTCTTCAGTGTGCGCAGCACAGGGTGCCACTGTAATCAACAGGCCAAGGAAAGGAACAGAGACCCAGGTGGCAGCCACATGGAAAAACAGAAAGTGCAAAATCAGCCACATTATAAACAGGAGCATGGACTAAGCAAACCACTTGGAATGCAATAAACAGAAGACAAGAAGAGTAGTTTAGTTCCCACCCATTATTTCTATTTTGAAGCAAGTTAACTTCTACAATAAGGTACTAAATTTAGTATAACACGACACTGAGGTCCAGGCCTATCTACCCATCTTATCCTTTCCATGTTAAACAAACAACCCTCCGGAAGAAGAACTGTCCATATATTCAGGGCAGTCGCCTTGGTAGTCAGTAAGATGGTAAGTGGAGCAGTGAGTCTGGTTTGCCACCATGGCTGATGGGTTGCCAGGTAGTTAGCAAATACAGACTAAAGTCTGAGGAGCGCAACAACTTTTTTGCTGGGTGGTCCTCTGTTCATTTTATTCCTATTTTATTGTAAACAGCAGAATTGCTGTTTTAAAAAAAGATACTTAATATTTCCAGAGGGGCTAGCTTCCTAAAAACATAATCTAACAGGAAAAAATGTTCCTTTCTACAGGATGAAATCATGATATGGTCTTGATAAGTGTACTAGGGTCTGCGAACTAGAGATTTTTATTATTATTATTATTATTTTTAAATATATCTTTATTGATTTCAGAGAGAGGAAGGGAGAGGGAGAGAGAGAGACAGAAACATCAATGATGAGAGAGTCATTGATTGGCTGCAGCCCACAACCCGGGCATGTGCCCTGACCAGGAATCGAACCCTGATCGCCTGGATCCTAGGTCGATGCTCAACCGCTGAGCCATGCCTGGCTGGGCGCGAACTAGAGATTTAAACAGATCCACAGCCCTGCCTCCCGAGCACCAAGTTCATTTATGTAGTTTCTAATTTAGAAACCACTGTCTATACTACAGGGAGCCATGACCCCTGACCTTAGGTTATACTTTGGAGCTACAAGGAGCATAACTTGTACTGATTCTTGTTAAAATTCTATGTCTTTATTCCAAGAAATCTCAAGTGCTTTACAGAGCTTCCTTTATGACGGTGGTTACTATCAAAACCTATTGAAGACCCCATAGAACTTCTGTTTATATGGGTTACAGCTATGAGATTTGCCATATTAAAAATTAAAGCTGAAAAAAATTTAAGCTATTGGTTAATTCATTTAAAAAAATAACAAGCCTGGCTGGGTGTGGCTCAGCGGTTGAGCATCGACCTAGGATCCAGGCGATCAGGGTTCGATTCTTGGTCAGGGCACGTGCCTGGGTTGTGGGCTCGATCAATGACTCTCTCATCATTGATGTTTCTATCTCTCTCTCCCCCTCTCCTTTCCTCTCTCTGAAATCAATAAAGATATATTTTAAATAAATAAATAAATATAAAAAAATAACAATGTTTTCTAATACAAACAATTGGTGAGAAGAGCAGACTGATCTGCTTCTACATTCAATGTGCTACAGCAGTTTTTGTTGATGTGAAGAAAACTGCCTTCACACGGATATGTAGTTAGAAAAGAGAGCCTTTTATAGCCTTTTCAAATAATTACAGATATTATTTGATAGTACACCAAAACTCAACAAGTACTGATTTCTTCAAGGTTAGTTGCAATGTGGAATCTAAAACTGTATGAACAAACTTTTCATATTCTGTTATATTTAAATCCACTGGTCCATCTTGCATTTTGAATGGATCTTTTAATCCTGTATAGTCCTATAACATCAAGCATTGGTTATCTGGAAAATATTAGTTTACTGAGTTATGCAGATCTTTTAACTATTAACACATTTCATTGTTCAGCATCAAAAAAATCACATCCATTATCACAGATCCCATCAGAAAAGGCAAAGTAATGGGAAGAGGTCAGGTTCAAGGTAGCAGTTATAAGTTTTTCCAAAATTCTAATTTTTGCTTGAACACTCAACCTTTATCATTAGTTATAAATCCTTGAAGTAACACTTCATTCATTTTTGAGAATATGTCTGCCAAATACTCAAGTGTGAATAACTATAGTTTGTCTGCCAGTTGTTCTTCCAAGGAAAAAATGGTCCATGACAAAGTAGCCAGTTCAGCGTACAGCTTACACAATCACACGTGTTTTTCTCGACAACCAACATACTCAGCCTGTATCAGGATGCTTTACACATACCTTCCATTTCCTCAAACTATTAAAAAGATATGTACTAAAAGACTGAGATTTAATAAAACTAATGTTTACTGCTTCATCAAGAAATGTTTTTAAAGGAAACCAGCATTTTTTTAAAAACTGAAAGTGCACAAATATGAAGAATACAATGGTTACCAGTACAGTTTAATGACAATGCCTGAATCGAACTAAGTTTTATCCACCATTACTTTTTTATCCACCATCACTGCAAACTCAACACAGTAAAAATGTCATCCAGTCTTAGTATTATAATAAAAATAGTTTGAGCTTGTGGATTTCCAAAAAGGACTTCATGGCCCCCGCTCCACGGTCCACAGACTATGCTTTAAGAACTGATACATTAGAGAACCCCTTCAAAGTCCATGCTCTAGGTTTGGTAGTGAAGGAATGAATGTTCAGCAAAGGAAAGCACAGTATTATTATTAAGTATATCTCATGGCTACTGGCAGGTAGAACTGCCAGGGAAGCATGTGCGGGAATCATTCAGCTTTCCTGTGATAGGGAAACCATGATAAAAGCTGGCATTCCTTGTTATGAATATTAGCATTACATTCTAACCAGCGGATTTAAAAAAAACAAAAACAGCAATAAAAACAAAACTTAGATCAATAAAATAGAAATATTATTAAACTACCCTATGTTCAAGAGAATACCTTTCAAAGTAAAATTCCATAATAATGCTAGCAAGCTGTACTTCCTATTTATTTTATAGCTTTTAAGCTTAACTTCATAGAGATAAAGATCAGATGCTAGAATTATATTCGGCAAAAAACAAACAAAAAACCCCACCAGAACATAAAGGAGGAAGAAAGCTTTTCTGCAATGTGACTGAGAAGCAAATTAGCACTTCCCTGCTTGCTTAAGGACTGAGCACTGTGATAACACCAGGTTTGCATTATGTTTCTAAGTGGCTATGTATTTTTTCTTGGTTATTTTTGGTGGTGAAGTAAGGAGAAAAGGAAAAAAAAGGGGATAATGAACTAAAAGATTAATTTAGACTCTCCAACCAATACTCTATATACAGATCCCTCAAAACTGAATGTCTAATTTAAAATTCAGCGTCATCTCACTGTTCAGTGAAGACATTCTATCCTTAAAAGACATTTGAGGAAAAGAGTCTGAGAAAATATGAATCACAGAAGTAAAAGGGCCCATTCAGTGGGTTTCACACAGTGTTTTTTAGTATCCTAGGTACTGCAGAGGTGCCTCTGGGATTGCCATAGGGGAAAGGAGAGGTCAAGTGGATGGGACTCCCAGCCAGTCAACACACTCTTCTATTTTCATATACTGGGTTCATATAAGATTTAGCTTGAACAAAGACTAAAAGAAGTTTAATAACCTGATTGAATCTCCTCCTGTGCTGTGCGATATTAAGCCTGAGATAATAATTTTTTTAAAATTTATTTTTACTGTTGAAATTAAACAAGTGTTTCCAATACACACATATATGCACCTTAGTGAGTCCCCGTTAAAAAATCTGAGAAGTGTCCTGGCCAGGTGGCTTAGTTAATTGGAGCACTGTCCCACACACCGAGAGGCCGTGGGTTCGATTCACAGGGACGTACCTAAGTTGCGGGTTTGTTCCCCGGTAGGAATGCATACGGCAGGCAACCGACCGGTGTCTGGCTTGAACATCGATGCTTCTCCCCCTTCTCCTTTCTCTAAAACCAATGAAAACATGCCCCTGGGGAGGACAAAACCTGAGAAAGGGGTGTGTCCTTTGTTCCAGATGCTAAGTAAACAAATCTAACAGCAACAGAGACAAGATTATGAGCTAGACAGATTCAAATGAAAGAATTCTCAATGACAACCTTAGCATCCAACAAAAGAGGCTTCCTTCATTGAAGCATGGTATACATCAAATATGGAATACTAGGCAGCTACGAAATATGACGCTGTAAGAGAATAATTAACGATACTAAAACATGTTACTGATATCGTCAAGTGAAATGTAGTATACATTGGGGGAAAGACAGTCTATTCAATAATGGTGTTGGGGAAATTGGGAAATTACATGCAAAAAATAAAACTGGACCACCTTCTTACACCATATACAAGAATAAACTCAAAATGGAATAAAGACTTAAATATAAGACATGAAATCATAACACTGGAAGAAAACATAGGCAGTAAAGTCTCAGATACCTCTCGTAGCAATATTTTTTCTAATATCTCCTCAGGCAAGCGAAAAAAAGAAAAAAATAAACAAATGGGGAAAAGTCTTACACAGCGAAGGAAATCATCAACAAAATGAAAAGACAACATACTGAATGGAAGAAGATATTCATCAATGATACATCTGATAAGGGGTTAATACCCACAACTGAAAAAGAACTCATATAACTCAACACCTAAAAATAAAATAAACAATCCAATTAAAACATGGGGAGACGACCTGAATAGACACTTCTCCAAAGAGGACATACAGATGGCCAACAGACATAAGAAAAGATGCTCTACATTACTAATCATCAGAGAAATGCAAATTAAAACTACCATGAGCTATCACCTCACCCGTCAGAATGGCTGCCATGAATACATCAACAAACAACAAGTGCTGGTGAGGATGTGGAGAAAGGAAGCCCTTATGTGCTGCTGGTGCCGTCACTGTGGAAAACTGTGGAGGTGCCTCAAAAACTGAACAATGGAGCTGCCTTATGACCCAGTGATTCCACTTCTGGGAATATATGCAAACAAACCCGAAACGCTCATCTGAAAGAATATCTGCACCCCTATGTTCATTGAAGCATTATTTACAACAGCCAAGATATGGAAGCAACCCAAGTGCCCATCAACAGACAGGTGGATAAAAAAGTTGTGGTATATATACACAACGAAATTTTACTTGGCTATAAAAAATGAAATAGCACTGGCCGGGTTGTTCAGTTGGTTGGAGCGTCATCCTGATATGCCAAGGTTGTGAATTTGATCCCCAGCCAGGGCACATACAAGAAACAACCAATGAATGTATAAATAAGTGGAACAAAAAATTGATGTTTCTCTCTCTCTCTCTCTCTCCCTTCCTCTCTCTTTCTCCTTTCCTTTTCTAAAATCAATTTTTTTAAAAAGAATGAAATCTTACCATTTGCAATAGCACTGATGGACCTAGAGGGTATTATGCTCAGTGAAATAAGTCAGTCAGAGAAGGACAAATACCATATGATTTCACTTACATGTGGAATCTAGAGAACAAACTAAACAACAAACAAAAGAAAAGCAGACACACAGATACAAAATAGAGAAAAGACTAATGGTTGCCAGAGGGGAGGGGGGTTAGGGGACTGAGTGAAAAAGGTGAAAGGATTAAGAACTACAAATTGGTAGTCACAAAACAGTCCCAGGGATGCAAGGTACAGCAAAGGGTATATAGCCAATAATATTGTAATGACAATGTATGGTGCCAGGTGGATAGTTGAAATATTGGGGTATATCTTTGTAAAGTATATGATAGTCTAACCACAACGCTGTACACCTGAAACTAATACAAAATAAGTAATAAGTAATACTGAATGTAAACTGTAACTTAAAAATGAAATTTAAATTTAAAAAGAGAAATATAGTATACATAATATATTTTTATTCTCTACATATATTTGCCTAAAATAAAAGAACTGGAACCAAAACATCAGCTGGTAGAATTATTGTATTCTTCAGGCTTATCTGCAGTTTCTAAATTTTCAATAGTAAACACATATTACTTACATTATAATAAAAGGACTGTCATTAAAAGAAATTCTCTTTAATAGTTGTCAAAATGTCCTCCAAGCATAAAAGTCCACTCTACACAGCAGACCTTTGTGCCTTATGTTTATTATAAAGCAGTGGTTCTCAATCAGGGGCAGTTTTAGCCTTCAGCAGATGTTTGACGATGTCTGGAGTCATTTTTGGTTGTCACGACTCGGTGAGGGGTGCTTCTGGCATCTAATGAGCAGAAGTCAGATTAACTGCTACACATTCTACAATACACAGGACAGCCCCAACAACAAAGAATTATCCAGCCTCAAATGAGCACCGCTGTGGCGGAAAAATCCTGCTCTGAGGGTTAACGAGGATGGAGAACTTCTTCCCACAGCCTGCTTAATCCTCAGCTTCTCTGCTATGGCTGGTGACAAAACGTAAGTTAACTCTGACAGAAACATGCCAGCAGTCTATGTGGGATTGGCCTAATTCAATTATCTTCATGTTTCCAAACCAACCTTAGATATCAAGGTCTCAATACCTCTTTGGAACACCTTTTAAATGCAGCCTAGAAACAAAGCCCAGAGCTCTCTCCTTACGTAAAAAAGCCGTGTATTTCAAGTCAATGTTTTATCCACAAACATTTTAGCACAGTGGAAGTTTATAATTATAAATTATTAGAAGCTCTGAAGTGTGTCATGTCACATTTCTGTTTATCCCAATGCTGTAAGCAAAACTCCATTTTCTTCAAAGTCTCTTTCCATAAAGCACAACATTATCTGCCAAAGGCAACATTCCAGGGACTAAACAGGGAGCTATTTCTTGGACCTTAACTCCATCCTCTGGACTAGCTTAATTTATACACTAGCATCTCTTTATCTACTGTCATGGAAATTTTTAGAAACCAGCCAAAGCAATGATAAGTTGAAGTCTAAGGAGTGCAGCCATAGAAGAAACACAAAGTCAACAAGAAAAATACCAGTGTTCTCCACAAATGGCAAAAGATCCTGAAAAATGAAGAGATGTTCTGAGCTGCTGGCCAGTCACATGGACTCTGGCCCCACAGCAAATGTGTACCAGGGTATGCACAGAGGGCTACAGCCAGAAGTGTTTGCGGAAGGGGGAGATGAGAAGAAATGGTTCATTTTCCTGAAATTGGGGAGTCTGATTCCAGTGTACTTTAGTTCCAGTTTTTCTCATCTATGGATCAAAAGCCCATCAATGATGGTGGGCACAAAGACTCAGTGTTTGAACCCAGAGGGTTTTCTGAACTGGGAACCATCATGCAGCTCTGTAAGGTGTTTTACTGTTATTTTATAGCACTCTACATTTATGTTTTATGTACTTAGTCTATAAAACCACATAATACAACAGTAATGTTCCAACATACGTGAGGATTTGGTTCCATAGTGATTCTGGAGTAAGTGTAAGGAAGTTCTCCATACCATGCTGTGAGTCTTGGCTGCTGGTAAGTTACATCTGAGAAAGAAAATACAGGGCCTTTGAAATGGTTTAATGCTATTTAAGGTGTACCTACTGAGTGCCAACCACTATGCCGTGCAGTGTGCAAAAAGCTGTGAGAAATACAAAGGAAGCGCAAGGATGGGCTCTGACTCAGGCTCCACCTTCACAGAGGACATGCAATTTCAAGAGGAGAATGGGTAAGAGCTAGAAGGAAGGAGATGAGAAGGGACACTGGCAGAAACAGTATGAGCAAAGGCTCAAGGTGAGAATGTGGCTTATTTGTGTCAGTTATGACATAAATAAGAGTGAAGGAGTCAACAAGAGGAAAGGAGGGTCTAAAAAGCAGGACACCGAGTCTGAACCTTTGTAGGTAGGAACCTGTGGCACCAAAATCCATACAAGAAACCCAACAGACCCTTTACCCATGAGCCCCCACTGTATAAGCCCCTTTGATTCTGAATGAAGAAAGTGCTCTGACCAACTACAGCATGTAGCTGGTTTTAGTCAGAATTTTTTTATGTTCAATTTATTTAGAGAGGGAGTTATCCATAAATCTGCTTTCCCCCATAACTGATATCAACCACCTCAATAAGAACAATAATAATAAAAGCAACTAACGTTCATTGAAGGCTTACTATGTGCCAGGCATTCTGTTAAGTACTTATGATGCATTATCTCATTTAATGATCACAACCTTATAAGTATTATTATTAGCTCCATTTTACAGATCAGAAAACCAAGGATTAGAAAATCACTTTACTGTAATTTGCTTAAAATTAACAATTACTTTGAATAACAGAGTGAGTAATAAAAGCCAAGTCTGTCACCAAAAGCCCTGCTATAGAAACTGCTGGGAGTCAGGGGAAAAAACTGACTCTTATTCTGCTGTCTGAGTCACAAATGAAGCCAGTAGACTTCACCTCTTTCTTAAGAGAAGATTTCAAGTTCACTTGATTTGCCAGAAAGGCATCGTATGCTAGAGCATAGACGCCCCTCAGTGGCCACCTCTGGTACAACAGGTACTACTGCTTGTGGACGACCACAGAGCAGGTTCCGGGTCAGGTAATTTTTGTAAACTCAGGAGAATACAGATGCTGAAGCTACAGGAGACTGAATTCTTCTAGCGAAACAAAAAAGAGACTAAAAAGCTGGTAAGAAGGATTGCAAAAAAAATATGCCAAGTAGAATCAGAAAAACAAAGAAAGCCCTGGAAGTTTCTATGAAGAAAGAGGGAAACTGGAACCACTTGATATAATAAAGGTAGGGGACAAAGGGGGTAAGTATGTCAACCGGAGTTCAATCCAAACTCCTCTGGTTCCCTGACCTCCCACCCCATTCTCCTGCCATGTTCTCTCTGAGTACCACCTGTTATTTCTTCTGACCCCTTTCTTTGACTGGCTAATTTCTACTCATCTTTGGGGTCTGAGTTAGGTTTTGAGTCTCTAGGACTGGTTGTGGTAAAAAGACGCAACAGTGTTAGAAAACACTCCAGAAAGGGAGGCAGGTGGTGACGACTGCAACCTCAGAGATCCACTTACCCTCTCTGATGCCGGTCCTCTGTTTCCAGGGAACACCCTGACAGAGCTGTTCCAATACCCAGTCGGCTTCTTTTAAGTCAACAAAGCCAGGATACAAACGCACCCTTGAAGCAGAAAGAACCATTAGTAACTAAACAACACAGAAAAGATGGGTTACAGACTCTGTTAGCAGAGTACATTAATCCGGACAATGCCTCCTTCTCATGGGGAGATGAAATCATCTTACCACACCTCCCATAGTAAGCAGAGCCTAACATCACCCAGGTCATGATGCCCAGGTCAGGAAGTACAATAAACTCCTTTCTTGTTAAGACAAATAAAAGAAGCATGAAGGAGAAAGGAATTCATGAGGGTTCTTATAGTCATCATTCAAATATTGCTCAGCACTGCTTAGCTCTGAAACCTTCGTTAAGTTATTTAACCTCTGAACCTCAGTTGTCATCTGTAACATGAAGTTCATATCCACCTCAGAGGGTCACTGTGAAAAGTAAAATAAGCCTGGCCCTATGTTATCTGAACAATTGGTAGTCTTCTGAGACTATGCCGATTGTAGGGGAAACAATCATTTATGATTGTATTAAAATTAAAATATCCAAAAGAGGGTTCTTTCTCTCATTGAATATACCTGTACACTTATTTCAGCAATGCTCAGTTAGTTCAAAGTCACGTTGGAAATCCTTCTTAAGAAATGTTCTGAAAGTCCTTGGAACATTCTCATGAACTTTATTCTTTGAAGATGCACTTGATATTTTGAAAGAGCCAAAGCTCACGTTAAGCCATACCTGGTTAACAATGAGATGTGACCAAAGTAATGCAACTGGTTTCCTTGTGCGACTCGCTTTAAAAGGGAGGTTCCAAAAAGGGTTTAACAATGGCAGTGCCACTGAGGAGTTACAGAGACTTCTTCTAAGCAATTCATTTAGATATGTAAGTTCTGATATACTTGTTTTAAATGCCTTGTTATTTTAGAGTAACAATTAGTATACTTGTGCATTGATGAATGTCACTTACCTAGATATGCCTGTTGGTGACAGGCTGATTTCATATACACCCTCTTTACTAAAGAAACAAAGAACACAGACTTGTTAGTATCATACAAAACAATACACTCCACCCAGTGGAAGGGCTGTCCTTTAGATTCCCTAAGTCCTGGCTCACCAAAGTCATTTAACAATGAGGGCAAGTGAGGGCAAGTGAGATAAGGGGCAAGATGGCAGTACCTTGTTAATGGCATTGGGCATAGAATTCTGAGAGGATCAGACCACAGAGATAAAGACTGTTGATAAAATAGTAAACTATGATCCTACCCCTTTCTATTTCACCCATAATTTAGGCTAGTATACTCCAGGAATCTATCATACAAAGGGGTGCCAAACAGAGCACACCTTCGGAGACTCTGGAATAGGGATGAGCATTTAACAGGTAGCAAGGGCTCTGAGCATCTGCTGCTTTGAGATACACGTCTAATGAGGTTCCTCTGATCGAAGTCCTTCAAAGGCTCCTCACCAACTTTTCAGCATTGCATTTAAGGTCCCCTTGACCTAGCTCCACCTCCTGACAGCTCGACCGCCGCATCCACCTCCAGCAACAATTACTGCTTGGACTCTCCTGACTACACGACGTTTCTAATCCTGTGCTTTGCTCCATGCTGGGATACCTCCCCACCATCCAACACCCCAAACCAACCCATCCCAGCTTTGGTCTAGTAGAAACTTCTAATTCATCCTTCAAAATCTCAGCTCATGCCTGGCTGGCTTGGCTCAGCAGTTGAGCATCGACCTATGATCCAGGAGACTGTGGTTCGATTCCCGGTCAGGGCACATGCCTGAGTTGCAGGCTTGATCCCCG